ACTGAATTTGAGTCATCAGCAATAAACAAGTCGTACAGAAAATTGAATCTTTAGAGGGCAGAAAATCATGGGCAAAGGAAAGACACTCACCAGTGAGCTCTGTGTTAGTGTGTGCTTGAGAGGAGTTATTGACTGCATTATTTCCCATGGTGGATTTTTCCATAAGTGCCTTAAACTAATTCAAAGTCCCAGCCTGAAATTTCATTTCGAAAACATGTATGTGTAGTGAAAACAGCAGTATCAGTCAGGCTTCAAGATCATGCGGTATAAAATTGAGTTTTCACTGCACTAAATCGGGTGATTTTGGTCCCTGGTTTTGTAATGAGCTTTTTACCTATGCTGTGTTGTGAAAGGCTGAGATCAGTAAGATTTTTTGAGTCTTCCAGGAAAAATTATGTGAAATTTAGCTTGTATTGGTTTTGTAATTTCTTTTACCTCTCCTGTATAATGCAATAATTTTGAATAAGTTTACTTTATATATCATGGCAGCATTTCTTTAGGGCTGCAAGTGTTTGTTTTCAGAAGTGATAATAGATAAGCTAATAGTTAATAGGTATTTCAGTTGAAAATGAAACCTTTGTATTATATCAACTCTAAGAATTTACTTTTGTGAAAGCAGCACAGCATCTGTGGTGCTACTGTTTCAAACCATTCTCAGCTTTGAAAGTGCAAATGCTTTAAAGAAGGGTGGAAATGCACAGATATTTTCATGTTTAATAACCTCCATATTTTCGCATTTAATAACCTTCCCTTCATAACACTAAGAAGTCAATAATTTGCTGATTACAAAATGTGCCTTTTAATTTTTGGTTCAAGGTGTGATTCAGTGTAGGACATGATATATTACAAATGGATGGAGTTGACTCATGGAGAGGCCCAGAAAGGGGATAGGATAATGGGAATGACTTCAACATTTACAGGCATTTCTTGCTCCTCAAAGTGGCTTGCCCAATGTGGAGTATCCCCAGGGGCTCTTTATTACCTGGCGCTCCTTTCTCGCTCGTGACGGGTTTGTGCTGTAGTTAAATTGCTCTGACCTGCCTGTCCCAGCTTTACACCTTTGTCTCTGCATGGGGCAGAAATCCAGCACTTGGGGAGGAAAGAGGAAAACCCAGTAAATTTTCGAAGGAAACACAGGGTCTAATGCAAACAGTAACAGTTGTAATGAGCATAGTCGAATGAACTTACAGCCCGGCGCGGCTTTGCTAAATATAGCTACAGACGACTTGTTGTCTGCGGGCGCTGGTGTCGGAGAGCATTGCCATCTGCAGCTGGGGAAGCAGCAGAAACAGGGCCACAAATCACAAATAAAAGAGATGGCAGTGGGATCTGCCAGAGCCCCGGTCCTATACTCGGCTCAACTGGACAACCTTGCTCCTTGGAGGGGTGGATGGTCTTTTGTTCGTGCTGTCCTTTTCATTGCAAACATGGCATATTCCCCTCTTGTGCCTGGAGAGGCTCTCTAAGACTTATTTCAATAGAAATGAACTTATTTTGGTGAAAGAGGGTCAGTGTACTGCATGCCTGTTGTTCAGCAGGCCTAGGACAGCCAATTTTAAACACAGAAAAAAGCAGGGTAACATTTGGTCACTGTTTGTGCATTCAGGTCTCTCAGCCTTGTGCTTTACTCTCTCCTGCTGGCCCTCAGGCACGGGACCTCCCCAGGGAATACACTTGTGGCCTCCCATGGTGGAAACCTGTCAGATCACCAGTGGAGGTGAGGAAGAAGAGAGCAACATGTCCAGGGGAAAAAAACCTGCAATGCTGATGCAAACAGGAGGCTGAGATCCTTGGGTGCAGTGAAGTGAGTGCAGCATGGGAGGGAGTGAGAAGGAGGGCAGGGGCTGGGGACCAGCTGTGGGATGAAGCTGAGAAGTAGCAGAACTGGACAGAGCACTTGGGAGCAGAGCCAAGGCCAGGGCAGAAGACAGGCAAGCAAAGCAGAGGCCTGCAGGGAGCTGCTGAATGGAGATGCCACCTTTCAGCTGTGTGGCATTATGTGATGGTGTTTTGTCCCAGGGATGCCCATCCTCAGAGTGCCCTGCAGCCATGTGCTCCTTCTGTTCCCTCATGTCCTTAGTGCTGGAGTCTTTTCATCTTCGGTTCATCCATGGCCTGGCCTTTTCCTTAAACCCATTGCCAGCCTTGTCCTTTGCAAGGAGATCTAAATTTGCAGAGGCTTTGGAGAGTGGGTAGAAAACCCCACGCATTCTGTCTGCTCAAAGGACTTTGTGGGTGAGACCCTTTCCCCTCCTTGAGTCTGATGGCTTTTCAAGAGAAGAGTTAAAAACGGAAAAGTACCATAAATCCTTTCTTCCAAGGGCAAGAAAGTATAGTTCTAGTTATCCTGTTGGTACTCTCAAAAAGCCAAGATTAAATGCAGCATTGCATGGTGGAAGAACATGAGCTAGGTGGACTTAACTGAAAAAGGGTTTGCTCCTCAGATGATAGATGTAAAATTATCACATTCCTTTGCAAAGGAAGGAAGGACATAGTCCAAAGGTCTTAGTATTGTGTTGAGAAAACTGAATGAATGGTGATTTATGACAAGAACAGAGTTTAAGCTCACCTAACCTTTGGTGAGCTATGCTTAGTATATCTTTAGAGCTTACACAGTGAGTTCAGCATAGCTTTGAAATGCAATAGATTTACGTATGTCATAATATTTTAATGGTTAATGAGCTATTGTTTGTAATCTAAAGTCAGTCTACCTGAAAAAACACAAATGAATATGAATAGCATTAATCATGATAAATAAAGCATAGTACTTCCCCAGAGTATGTGATACACTTGACTTCCTTCTACCTCAAAATGGTGAAAGTGATGCTACAATGAAAATTGTGATGATTTTATATTTTCCTTTTGTATGGTTTTTATAGTTGGTGACTTAGGAAATGATGGACATGATTATAGAAAATTTAGTGGTAATTCCAAATTAATTTGCTGTTTGCTCCTGGAAACTGAAATATTTCTATAATAAATTGTCTCAAAACCTCATTTTATTGGTGATTTTTTTTGGTGGTGTCAGTGGTCTGGGGAAGGAGTTACTAGTGTTTCTGGTTAGAGTAGTTCTTTAATGGTGAACTTCAAAAGAGTGAGTCCGGATACCAACTTGAATAAAAGATTATTACTGACAAGAGATAACACTTGATTTTTATCTTTCCCACTTTGGTGTCAAATGAGAAGTCAATAGTAATTTCTTTAGCAACAGTTTGAAAGAAAAAATTGTTCATATTTTATAATTTTCACATAAAAGCAAACACATTTTTCATTAAAACATTTTAATGAAGTGGTATCTATTGTTACAGTCTGGTTTGTGAGAAGCCAGTGATTACAATGGACAGGGAGCTTGTTTCACTAGCTTGAACACATGCCAGAAGTGTCCAAATTGGGAAGAAATGTGCTTGAAAAGTCAGTGGGTTTGAACTTTAAAGGCTTAGGACCTCTTGCCAAGTCTGCCACTTCTTCCCTGTGTAAATATGAGAATATTATCATTTGAAGTGCTCCAGTCTTGCTCTCCTCATTTAAAAACACAGATATTTTAGCTGACTTCTTTTGTAGAGCAGTTTGAGATATGGTAGTGAAGTGTATAGGTGTTATTTTAAGGACTGTTTTTGAAACAAGGGTGAGAGGTTGGCTCAGGACACTGGCAGAGAGATTTGGAGAATTTTGCCTCCTTATTGCTTACTGGACTAATTCCCAAGAAAAGGTAAAAGGTGTTTCAGCAAGGCATAGCAATTATAGATGTTTTTATGTAGTTATTGATTTCAGACCAGCAGACACTGGTGCTAATTTAGCAGCCATTTGCCAGAGCAGCTGGGATTGGAGTGAGTGTGTTGTTCCCTTGGCACTCGGTGTCCTTAGGTAAAGGCTGAGGACAGGGATGGAGCAGCACAAACAGGCTCACGTTGCCATGTCCAGATGAACCCTACAGTCAAAGCTCCTCTTTTTTGTGGCTTTCACCCTCTTAAGCCCTCAACCTTTACCAGTATAGAAGTCTAATGTTGCAAGTGAGCTTTAGCTGCCTGATGAGTCTCACAATAACAGACAGGCCTATTGATAGGACAGGGAATATGATGTTATTTAAAAAATCCTTGAATTGTAAAAGCTGACCTTCATTTTAGTTTCTGGAGTAGCTTATATTGAACACAAGCATATATGCATGTACTGAATTCAATATTTAGATCCAGAGTCAGGACTGTATCTCTGCTTTGGTGCCAAACTTCTCCCAAAATACAAGAAGGCTAAAATAATATGTTTTGTTCTACATGACTAATTATGCGTCATTTTTTGCTGGAAAACTTTTACAGAAAAATGGTTTTTAATCTTTATATTAAAAAAAACCCAGCTTACCTGGGGAAGCTTGAGGCGCAGTGAAGTGTCAATTTAATTGAATTTAGGAAATACAGACATTTGCCTCCAAATTTTTTTTTTGATACTTAAGTGGAGAGCCAAACATAGGGTCTTTATGGAACTATTTTCTAGTGGATCTGTTGTAGATCTGTTTTGGTTTTATTTTGTTCCTCAGTACTGCTCAGAAATTAGCTAAAACATTTTTATTGCAGAAATGATACAGCAGCAGTTTCAAGTCTTTTGTGCCTTACATGCTCAATTAGAAAAATCCCATTAATGATAGAAAATGCTAATCACTGATGTGTTTTGCCAGCCACTACAAGCCCACACATTCTATATAATCCATTGTTTATTAACCTAATGAAGGTCATTGCAGCTTTTGAAAGCTTGTGTGCAGCATATCAAAATTATTTTAAAACTCCATGCTGCTGAAATAAGTCAAGGTTGAGTATTTTCTTGCCAGAATGGCTCTGGCCTAAATTGAGTTTTTTCTGGGTGGAATGATAATTCTGTGCTTTTCATTTGTTCATTCTAATTGTCAGGACAGATGAACAGTGCAGGGTGGCTAAGCTAATGGTGCTGCCATTAAGAAGCTAGACACTGTCTTTATCCACACCTTATTGATTATCCTTTTCTTTTCTTGGCAGGTGACATCACACAGAAGGGATATGAAAAGAAGAGATCAAAATTAATTGGGGCCTACCTGCCACAGCCTCCCGGTATGTGTATCTGTGCTTGTGATATATGAAGATGTCAAGTGTTCTGATAGTTGCCACTGTAGAAATCTGCATCTCTGAAGAAATAGATGTGGCAAAACCAAAGCTATTGTTATGCAGAATAAGCTTATTCCATCCATTTTTTGTGTATTCTTCTATATATGTCTTCTTTGATGTGTGTGTACATTTTTTACATATGTTGGTGTGGGTTTGGCAGTCATGTCTGGAAAACTAAATCAGCCTAGGCTTGTTAGAGAGGCATTGTTTGTTGGAAGGAATGCAAGAATCCAAAGGAAAATGTGATGTCCTAATTCATTAACATCTCAGCCATGTGAAGTTTTCTGAACAGAAGTATGCAAGAGAGGAAGAGAACCTTGGATCTTTGTAACTTTCTCCATTTCTGGGTTTCTTGTCCAAGTCTCACTTTGGAGACCATCAATATCCTTAGAGTTCAACTTGTCCTAAGGCATGTGGGCAACTGACCTTTTACAAATACCTGATTTTGGTGTTAAGGGATAGGCTGCATGCACTTGCCCAAAAGGTGTAAATGTACCTTCAAACTAAATTTAATAATGTATTGTATAATTGAATTTATTTCTTTTATGCGTATAAGAACTTTCCAGAGTTGTTTTACTCTTGTGAGGCACTGGATCACAAAGTTCAGTGTGTAATTGTAGGTATTGGTGTAGACCTCTCTTCTGTCTTGGTCTCAGAGGAGTGTGCCTGTGCATTCCTGGCCTCACTGACCTTACAGAGGCTCCACTTAGGCTTGGCTGTTCTCTGAGCCTTGTTTTTGTTGCAGGCCTCAGCACTACTTTCTCCTTCTTTTTCAAAATCCTTCCTTTTTAGTGGAATTGATGGGTTTTATTTCAACTGCTGATATGTGAAGGCAGTGCCTTGTTCTCTTTTCATCAGATTTGTATATCTATTGTCTAGCTCCATAGCAGAATGCTGATTTTGTGCCTTTGGATTTCACTTGGTCTACTCCACTGGTGGGAACTCCACAACAGAGATCAGTGTTACAGACACCTCTGTTTTCTGAAGTGATGCAGTCTGGTTTGAGGGTGTCCGTGACATTCCTGAACCATTGGGAGCCTTAGAGAGTGAAGCAAATCAAATAAACAGAATTACAATACCAGAGGTGCATTTACTAAATTTTGGGTATTTATTGGTCCAACCCAACTATCAGACAGCTGGTTCTCATGAGACCTGCTTAGATTTGCTGGGTTATGGAGAGCCTCACAGCAATCCTGAAAGCAGTGGCACAGCTGGTACCAAAATCTGTTTACTTTTTTAGTTGTTACTCTCCTTTCTTCACACAAGCATATAGAGCTGTTTCTCCAGAAAGCTCACAGTCCTCTGGTCAAACTATATCCATGGCTGAAACTGCTGGGGGTTCATATACATGTAATGGGGATTCATATGATGAAAGAGAGAACATGGAGAACCCTCACAGATTTAATTTTTAAGGTCTCTACTGTGATTGTTACTTAAGTTTTGCAGTGTAAGGAGAAACAGAGGGATGTCTGTAAGCCAGTCCTGTGGTAAGGTCCATTCAATAATTTGAAGAGGTCATGATTGAGAATGTAGCTGATTTAGAGTTGTTTTAAGGATGGGACAAAATGGAATGAATATTTTCTGCTCACCAAGTTGCTGAGAAATCCCTCACAAGGAATGTGAAATATGGTTGTGAAGGTAATAGGATCAAGAAAAACAAAGTATTGAAATATATTGTCTACTGTTTGCTTGTAAATATGTTAAGCTCAATCATTTAGCTGATGGCTAAATGGATTATTTTATTGTAGTGGAAGAAACTACTTCTGCTGTATTAAAGTATTTTCCTCCATGAATGGATACTATTTGTGCTTGGGTCTTTTACTGTCTTTGTACTTTTTGTTTGTTTTGTTGTGTTGCCTTTTGGACAAAACTTGAAAAGGTTCGATTCAATACAATCCTTCTAAGACCTTTTTCATCTGAATGGCTTTAAGTCCCTGCTCACTAGGAAGGGGGAGATGAATCCTTTCCAAGAAGAATTAGGATGACAAAACAGATGCTGCATATTGTAAGCCTCTGTAAATATCTCAACAATCACATATATGACCAATTAGCCTTAAAAAAAAAAAAGGCAAGCTGTTTTGATGGGGAATACAAGAATTTATAAGCTGAGACAGACTTGGATCTTGGTGTTATAAGGGAATAGAGGTTTTGGAGATATTTTAAACTGGTATAGAAACGGACATTACTTTTGCTGGGATGGGAAAGGGTAGGAATATGCATTCTGTGACTGCGTTCAACAAACTGAAGGAAATCCAAAGGCATTTCCCCTCTGCTGGGACATCCAGTCCTTCTGCTGCACCTTTGCTAACACTCCTAACGCCCATGTTGGCAGAGTGGAACATCGACCCGCGTTGGCTCCGTGGGTGTCCTGTGGTGTCTGTGCGTGCGTGTGCGTGTGTGCTCTACTGCATGGGGGCAGCAGCTCCACTCGTTGCTGTAACAAATGTAAAAAAACTAAACGTGAATTAATTAGTTTTTTTCAACTTGTTACAGCAGCGAATGGAGCTGCCGCGGTACGGTGTAGACTGCAACACAGTGAAGGAGCTGCCAGAAGAATGCTCCGCACTGCCAACATTGGTGTCTGTGACATCCGGGAAGCGGCCGCTAGAGAGAGAGCAGCCAGCACAGCAGGAAACCGGCCTCTCTTTTATTTTCGTTTTGGTGAGCACGATGAATGTATCTTTTCCAGTCCGTATCTGTATATAACTGTGCCTCAGCTGGAAGCCTCTGGTAGATGCCTACATCAATAGGATGGAGATGGGGCTGCCAGTTGCAAGGCAGGACAACCAAAGGATGACATCTGGAAGGCCGTTGCTGACTTTCTCTGCCTAAGAGTGAAGTGATGGGAAGGGAGAAGGAATAACTCTTCTTAGTAACATTTGAACATATTAGCACTTCTCTAGCTTCCATACCATGCCTACTTTGGAGGAGATTGCGTACAATAAGCTGGTGAAACACAGGAATGCATGTGTTTCTAATTCCCTTTCCGGCACTGCCTTTTTACAGTGCTTTCAACAGGTCCAAGCTCACCAGATTCTGGAGGAAGCAGTAAAAGTCTAAGCACCCCTAGTTCTATGCTATTTTCAAGTAGAGATCTCTGCCTGAGCTCTGCTTACACCCAAGCCATTCAGAAGCAGACTGACTTCGAGGAACAGGCATCAGGCTGGTAAAGCAGGCTGAAGGAAGAACATTCCTCAGGGTTACATCTCTGCAAGGCAAGGCATGACTCCAACCATGCCTGTAGAACTGTGGCCTTCCCAGATACCCATCCCTCTGGCAAGACCTGTGGCTGGTGGCAGGCATTCTCCTTTATTCCTGCATTTGTAGCAAGGCTGCAGAGAAGCCACAGCCCCTCAAGACACCATGTTTTCTCTTGCCAACCATGTGGGCACGTGGAGGACATCACATTCTAGCCTGTGTGCTTGTCCACACTTGCACAGGCTGTCCAGACATGTTGTAAGAGATGACTAGAGGGAAGATGAGATTTACAGTTCTGTCAGAACAAGACATACCTGTAAAAAGATTACCTATTTCAGAAACCCTTCTCCACTCATTTTCAAACCAATTTGCTGTAATTGTATGGAGGAGACTTATATTGGATTCTGACTGTGTTTGTATTTCTTCTCTTGCACAGGGCTGCTCTAGGTCAGGTTCCCTCAGTCTGATATGGTTAACTTCCTCTGCCTCAGATTTTTGCAAAATGGGAAGGATTTAATGTAAATTGCAATTCCAGGTTTAGCAGTATTACTGATATTAAAACGTGATAAATGTAACCAGTAAAAGGGTTGCAGAATATACGAACAGACATACACATATCATCTTTTTGTCATGCTTATTGGGATGCTGTCATTTTAGAAAGGGAGAACTGTTACTTTTCAGGAGTGGGATTAATGGAAGGTAAAGCCAGGCAACCATGTGGTTGATACTCCTCCAGGTGATGTAGGAGCTGGCTCTTAGGCTCCCTGTTTCTGACAGGACAATCCCCGAGAGCATACTGTCACGTGCTGTACAGCAAACCTGCAGTGACACACAGGGGATGTGCCAGATCCACTGCACATCTGCAGGCTGACTCTGCAGTGCATGCACAGTGGGTCTGACACATCCAGATGCTGCACAGACTGCACATACGCAAAGGACATTTGTACTGTTCCAGCCAGGCTGTCGAACATCCAGAAATCCGGAACAGATATGCTGCATTTGGCAGTGTTAATGGGAGAAGGGATGGGGGGAGCTCCCTTTTTCTTTCCCATTAAATCCCCACCTGATTTAAGTCAGGGAGACAAAAGTACAGCTTTGTTTCCTCAAGATGCTTTCTCAGGGTGTGAGTTAGTAGCTGGAGATTTTCTGTGTGCAGAGCAATTTTTCTTTTCTTAGTGTGCCCGTGTGTCAGGCATCTAAAAATAATAGTGAATCCAGACCTTTATATCTGTACATATCTCCCAGTCCCTCTTGTGTGGTGACCTTTCTCTTACTGCCTCTGTAGAGGAGCCATGACAGCCAAGAGTGAAGTAACAACTTAAACAGGGTTTTTTTTTTTTCAGAATAGCCTTCTGAATTTTATCTTGATTTGATCATTCAGTTCTGGGTAAGAACGTGGACAGCTGCATGCACATTATAAAGAGAAACCCCCTCTATAAGAAGAAAAAATGTAATTACCTGTATTCCCTGTAAGCTGTAGTTTTACCCAATTCGCTTCCAGTGTTTTGCCAGGAAATTTGATTATTCATTCACAGACAATGTTGTTATCAATTAAGCATTGCTTCTAACAGCTCAGACATGGGTGGTTCATTCTCTCTTAATGAAGTGCTGTGTCTCCACTAGATTGCTTTCTCTAATTTCCCATCATTGGTACCACTAGTGTAACTCTATTTGTAGTGCAACCATGTGGACCAGTCATCAGTGCTTTATTTATTATGGTTAAGAAATCTGTGAGATGTGGTGCTTAAAAGGCACCTGCTGCTCCTTTCACATTCCTAGAGCCAGATCCCCACACCTCCTGCTGCTGGATCCCCAACAGCACCAGCCTGGGAACATTTCAAGCTATGCAGGGCAGAGAAGATAATACATTTGTGCAGAAGATCCCTTTGCCTTACAAAAAACCACCAATTTTCTGTAGAATTACAGGAACCAATTTCCATAGCCTCTCTTATTAGCATGACACATATATTATGTATCTGTTCTCTGTGCATATATTTGCATACTTTCTATGTGTATGTGTGCATGCCTTTGCTTTCAGCTATTCCTGCTGCTAAGTCTTAAGGTAGTCCAAGTAAACTTGGTGATTATAATTTCATTTTTTCTTCCACAGACATTATTTGTATTGCAACATTATTTGGATTGCAAAGATTGCAAGGAAATATTTAAACAAAATTTGATTCTGAAAAAGTACTCTCATGTATTCATTTTATTAATACTAACAAGTATTCCTATCATATATGCCTTCCTAATTCTCAAAGATCTTACCAAGGGATAACCATGATGAGGCATTTCAAAGACTGTATGTGTGTTAAGAACATGGATCTCTTTGAAAGGCATGTGCACAACCCTGGACACACCTGGCCACATTCTTGAAACAGTGCAGCAGATGTTTCACAGATGAGAAAATGTAGCACACAGACAAATGCCTAGTAAGTCTTGGGCTTAAAAAAAGAGTTTGGTTTTGAATTGGTGGATACTTGCAGAGCTTAGTTTGGATAAAAAGGAAGGCATTGAAAGCCTCTGAGAAGTACCCCTTGAGGCCATCACTTAAAATATGATGGTTACTGTTTTGGTTTTGCCACCATGACTGAGAGTCCATTTACCATTTTATAATTCTTTGGGCCTTTCATGGCATCTCTGTTTTCTATCCTGTACCAAGACCTCATAATAAACCTTGTTCAAACACAGCAAAAAATACCTTCCTTCACTTTTCACTAATGAGTACATGATGAAATCAGTTAGTAATGCAGGTAGTGGTTTTAGCACTTGGTGTGATGTTTTTTGGGTGGAGGATATTTTTAGTACACATCAGAGTTGGTATGTTTTTCAAAGAATTTGAAGATTTTCGAGGTAATATCTGTTGATGTTCCTGGAGGCCATCTGCAGAACATAAGAGCACAGGAGGAAACATGAAAGTGTTGGTCTAAAATCTGACAAATAGGTGAGGAAAGATGTCTCAGTCAGTGGTGAACGATAGAGGGTAAAAAGGAAAAACAACACTGAGGACCTTAAAGCTTAACCAGTGTTGGAGCAGAGGAGGTGGAGCCTGTGGAGGTGTTTGAAGAGTTGGGTGCCACTGTCAAAATGACAAACTGCTGGAATTCACAATGCTGCCTGAATTTGTCTGCAGTGTGGTTTGACCAGCCCATTGGTGAAGATGTCTGTTTGTGAATAGGTAGTCTTCTTTTACATATTCTCCAAAAGGAATCATTAAATGGGACATTGAAGCTGTGGAAAGGAAAATGGAAACCAAACATCACATATGTTCTTGAGCTGTAATGTGATGTCCACCATCACTGGGATAATGGAGAGAAATAAAGAAGCCTGTGATATCCATGCTAAGCTTGCATAGAAGGCTAAACCTTTCAAGGAAATGCTGGAAGGCAAAATTGAGATTGTAATAATGAAAGAAAATTTGAAGTATGTGCGTTAAGTCAGACCAAGCGTAAGCTCATCTGTGAAGGAACACTTTTAATTAAACAAATCTAATCAGAAATCACATTTTTCCAGATTTATCTGGCAGAATGTGGCTCCACATTCCTGGATGTCTTTGGTTAGATATATTGCATTTTAAGTCTCCCCTGGCTTATCCAGTGAATTCATTACTTAGTTGTACATTTGATGGGAATAGTGAAATGCCACACTAAATAACGAGTTCCATGGGGATAGTGTGACATTTAGCATGTTGACAAAATACACTGTGTGTTCATACCTGGGTTTACTTTTAAAGCTGAGCCATCAGCTATTGAATAGAAGCTCAGGAAATACAGTGAAGGGAAGGTAAATACTGTTTCTTAAAACTGCACTGCAGGCACTGTGTGCCTTCCTTCCCTCTGGCCCTGGAGTTGTTTGGTTTATCCTACAGCTCTCTCTCCTGGGGGCACACACTGTAAGTTAGTTTTAGAACAACAAATGTAGCCTCTGTCTAAGAATGCCTTCTATTTCTTGTCAGTTAGATATTTCAGCTTTTAAATATTTTTAGATTCAAAAATTTGGCACAGACATAGGAATAAGAGATACATCAAAGCAGCTTGTCAGCTGACATTAAGGAGATAATTGTCCTTTGTTGGAGAGGGCAGTGCAGCTATTGCCAGGTTATCAGCACATAGTGTTGCAATTTAGCTACAAAAAGAACTAATAAAGGAGGAACAAGGAGGTGAACAGGAAAACAAATTTAAAAAGAGGTGAAACCTGCTTCCAGCTGACAGTTTTGTACCTTCCATGCACTTATAAATGAAGCTATCCAGGTTGTAGTGGTATTGCTTAAATAGCTTTACTGAGGCTGTTGCATTTTTAGCTAAATTCAGTCAAGACAGGATCCAACTTGCAGATTAGGATTTGTGGATTGATATATCTGCAGTAAGTTGTCTTTTATTTATGCTTCCATGCTTATGTGAAGAGATTTAGTTAATTCAGTTGATGATACCCAAAGAGATTTTCAGTTTATTCCAAAGCAGATGCATCCACTGACCACTTGCACAGCTCTTAAGGCTACATTGGACTTACAGAGTTGCCTGAAGTTGGGTGTCTGATACTGTTCAAGACTTACTACAATCCTGAAGACATCTGCACAAAGTGAGCACACATAAAACAGGACTTCAGGGGGACAATGCCATTCTGGCCAAGCCAGGTGTCACAGTCCACAACATCTGCAAAGAAATTTGACATCTTTGATTAGAATCCTGAGTTCTGGTCTAAGTCACTATTTTTCATAATGAGAGCTTAGCTTAAGCACCTTTTTGTAGACACCTAAATATAGATGTCTCAGGAGCTTTAGCTTGTGTTAGGAACATATCTGTTTGCGCCTGCTGATGCCTGTGTATATTGTGATGACCATGAAGCATGGATTTCTAAGCCTCTCATTTTAAATAGCTGTTTTCCAGGCATATGCATTTTCCTGAAATTCTTCATGGCTTGCAAAGAGTCAATTGCTAGTGCTAATCATGCTTACCTGGGAAAGTGCTGCTTCAGCTGCAAGATGGGTAGACAACTGTGTTATTTAGAATTATGCCATTTTCACAGTGGCTGTGAATGTGTCTGTGCACAGGGCAGTGTCATGACACTGGTCTTTCTCTTAGGAAAGCCATTCATTGCTTTACCACCTCCTTAAATTTAGGAATCGATCCAAATATGGATTCTCAAGCCATTACGCCGCCGATTCACAAACACGTCTGGGCAAAGCTGCACTTGAACAAGCATTAGCACTTAAGTCACAGACCCTTGTGCTGGCTGTGAAAGTTATCAATTCTTTGGGTTTAGTTATATTCAGAAGTAGAAGTGAAAAGAATATATTCTTGTTACTGCACTATGCTGCTAGAACATTCATGGAGGTGAACAATTTGGCTGTTAACACCACTTTGTTATTTGTGGCAACACTTCACTGGTTTCATGGTATTCATTATTCTGCATGGCTTTTACTCCCACCCATTGCTCAGGAATGGCAGTGTGTAGGTTCTTGCTATTGTGTCCTTTGTCTCACACCATTGCTGGTGCACAGGAAGCCAAGATGCAAGTCCAGGCAATCCAGCTAATTCCTGCTCTAGCCCCTTCAGTACAGAACTGTCATCCAGTTCCTTGCTGTCTCTCCAAAGTGGGACAGTGCTTTCTGGTTTTTCACCCTAGAGGAACATAATACAAAGAGGTGTCCCCACAGTTGGCTGATGCAGAGCTTCTTGTAATTTAGCACACAATTAACTTCCTCATCTTAATTGGTGTTGTCAGTAAGCCAAATTCACATGTCCTACTCCACTCTTGGACAGAGATTTATTCACTGTTTATATATATATATGTATGGGTAAGTAGGAAGTAAAGCCATCAAATGATCCCCCAGATCTCATAAGACATTTTGATATTCTCATTTAGTTTTCTGTTGCCTTAAATGACTACTGGTACAGGATGATGAGTTGGGGCTCCCTCTTTCCTGACTATAGGAAGAAACTTCATGTTGCCCATTGGGTCAGAACTGACTTACTTAAAAGAACAAACACAAGCATACAAAGTAGAAGGAAATTAAACTTGCTGAAGTGTCTCAGTTATAATATTTACTTAATGTAGCTGTAGTAAAAACACAATCTTCATAGTGAACTGGATGAGGGAAGAGCTCTTGGCAGTATTGGGGAATGCTGTGGGCAGCAACATTGCCTGGCCAGTTGGGTGTCCTGCTGTTTTCTGCCATGGCAGGGTCAGTGTTTGATGTTACCTTATGTGCATTGTTTATTTTGCACCTGTAAAAAGATGTTTGTGTACTGCCCACAGCTGCAGAAAAGGGACTGAGATACTTGAGGTGTCTCACAGTCACTAAGCCAGGAGAGAAGGAAGCCTCAGGCTTGAATGTGTTTTGCCCAATGGCTTTCAGGTCTACCTGGAAGACCTCCCTCCTACAGCAGTTGTGTACCTCTGAAACTGATGCTTTTCCTCAGAGCTTTATTTCCCCTAGATGTTTCTAAAGCCTATTGCATGTGTTTTTGTTGTTTGGAAGAGGCAGTTAATCCCCTTTTCCTGTATCATCATGATGTTGTACTGCAGTGGCAACATCTCAATTATCTTTATTTTTCTCCACATTTCATGCCATTGCTCTACACAAGTCACAAGTCATGGGAAATGTGGCACTGCTTTTGCAAAACCTCTGTCACACAGCATCAATATTAGGTGTAGAATTTTTGTGTGTGGTTTTCTTTGTGAATATATGTGGTTTCCAGAAATTATGTAATTCCTGACGATGTAAATGAGGACTGAGATGATTAATGGTGCTTAGCATCTCATACAGACTGAAGCATAATTTTTGGAAAAATTTCAGTCAAAATTGGATTTATTATTAACTGTATATTCCTCATTTTCAGGGTTACCAAATAAGGAAGAATTCTAAATATAAAAGGGAGGAGAAAGTATTTATTTTGATATACAAAAGAAAGTAGAAAGTACTCCTTTTGATTATTCCAGTGATTTAGAAGTCAGGCTTACTTGACTGAAAGAATATTAAGGGAAATGAGAGGAAGTGAAATTATGCAGTACTGTAGTATGGAGACAGAGGAGTTAAATTAAGACATTTTATTTGATTTTAGAGAGTGAATTATTAATCACAATCTGAGTAAAGGAAAATTTATGGATTCATTCTGTCTTGTAGGCGCCTATGAGATTTTACTCCAAGCACGTTTTTTAGCCAACCAGCCATTCCTCCACAAAATCAAAGCAGACTTGACATTGCTGATAATCCAAAGATTTAAGAGAAAAGCTGGATTTTCAGTGCAGTTTATTTTCACAAAGAAATAAGCATACAATGCCAACTTTTTTCAAAAGATGCTTTTTTTAAGAGTCCATCGAAACCCAACTGAGACTGATTGAAGTAATCACAGGATTTTAGGTTGGTCTGTAGTCTACATAAGAATTCTTGTTTCCACAAATGTAAACTCTTATCCCTCTCCAATAAGCTGGCATTGAACTGTTTGGAAATAGTAGTGGAGAGTTTTTACATTGTGTTTTAATTGAAAAATATGAGCATTTTTCCAAGCATTGCTTTGTTGAATCCAATTTCAAGTTATTAGTCCTGCATTTGAGCCCTGAGTGCAAGGGGCCAGTTTTACTTGTGTTCTTACAGTTACACCTAGTGTGTAAATACTTCTTAAAGGTAAAAACTGTAGAAAATAATGAATTTAATTTTGTCAGGTTCCTCCTGTTCTTTACCCCTGTGCATCACACACCCAAGGCTCTGTGCTTTGTTGGCTCCAAGCTGAATGCATCAGCTGGGCTTCTCTGCTCAAGTTCTTCTCTGGAAGAGAGCAGGGAACCACATCATGTCACTATTACAGATGCAGGTTTGCTTTCTTTTCCTATTGTTTGAACTTTCCTGCTTAAGTCATTGCCTTCACTCTTTTCTAGAAGTTGTCAAAGAACATCAGTTTCTAGAAGTGTTGATATGTAATGCTGCTGTTATATTACTACTGTAGTTTAAGAAGTTTTCAAGAAAACGCTATTTTAAAAAAAAGCAAATTCACTATGGGAAAGGGATCAATAAAAGGATTGAATCTTAAAATACTGGCTGTTTAAGCTCAGCATATTCAAATGCTGTAGGTTTACAAGGCTATTTTTGTCATTTTGCTGGAACAGGCCACTATTTTCAGCCTGGTTTCATGCGGTTATAGTTTACTTTCTGACCATTGGTAGGTAAAAATGACTATAGATATTACTATAGTTTCCTTCCCACAGGAGCTAGTTTCCATAGGTTAGTATTGTGTTGTCACCAGCTGACGCCATCCAACCAGACGAGGTTTTAGATTATACACACTTAGTTTTCCTAGGAACCATTTTGCAGGAAGATTTCACTATCCATTGCAATGATGTCTGCCTTTATTAGCTCATTAAAATATTTCCTTAATATTACTTTATGAAAAATCATTTATTAGTGAAATAAAAAAATGCCATGCTTACTGTCTGTTTGCTCTTTCTATGTTGTCTATCACCCTGGAAAAAAGGTTTTTTAGAGAGAACAAGGAAAATAACCACATCAGAAAAGATGACCAGAGGCAAGTAGTGTGTAACCAATTGACACGACGTGCTTTAGGCACTGAATGTTCATTTTCTACTCCTAGTGTATGCTGAACTCCTCCTCACTATAAATCTTCCAAAATTCAATGAGCTGTTTGGTTTTTTTTTCATTAATGCAGGGGTGGACCAGGCGTTACCACAAGAACGTCGAACTCCTGTCACTCCGTCCTCTTCCTCTCGGTATCACCGTCGCAGGTCCTCAGGGTCACGGGATGAGCGCTACAGATCGGGTGAGTGGGAATGAAGACCCCAGCACTGGATTGAAAGTTTGAAATGCCTTGTTCTGTTCCTCACTTTTTTAAAAAGCAGTTTGTTGTGGATAGAGAGACAATGTCCAAGTGTGTAGGGGTGGAGTCGTGAAGCCAAAATACAGCTGGAACTGGATCTGGCAGTGAGTGTGAAGGGCTGAAAAAAAGCCTTCAACAGGCATATTAATAAAAAAGGGATGAGTAGGGTAAACATGGTCCCACTGCTGAATGGGGCAGAAGACCAGGTGATAAAGGGCATGGAAAAGGCCAAGATAATTAATGTATCCTTTGCCTTTGTCTGTGCTGATGATATTTGAGTTCTGGAAACCAAAGCATTTGAGACCCATGGGAAAGTCTTGAGCAATGACAACCTACCCTCTGTGCAGGAGGATTGGGACAGGGAATATTTGAACAAACTGAACAAGTAGAAGTCTGTGGGACATGATGGGTATGCATCACTGACCAATGTGAGTCCACTTTCAACTCAAAAATTTGTGTCAGTCAGGGGAGGTTTCTGCAGACTGAGAAAGCAAGTTCATTTCTGTCGTCAGGAACAGCAAGAAATAGGATTTGGGAAACTATAGGCCAGCCAGTCTCTTCTCAATCTCTTGAGCAGGTTATAGAGCAAATAGTGCTGGAAGCTCTTTTTAAATATATGAAGGACAAGGTGGTGACTGGGAGTAGACAGCATGGGTTTACAAAGATCCTTAGTATCTTGGTCAGTTCATGCTTGATCAGCCTAATGACCTTCTACAATGAGATGACTTCCCTGGAGGTTGAAGGAAGAGCAATGGAAGTTGGATGCCTTGACTTCAGTGAGGCTTTTGACATTGTCATAACATCCTCCTGGTGAATGTGGATTAGATAAGTGGACAGTGAGGTGGTCTGAAAATTGGCTGAAATTGACTTCAGAGAGTTGTGATCAGTGACACAAAGTCCAGCTGGACACCAGTCTCTGATGGGTACTGTAGGGAGTGAATACTGGCTCCAGTAGCCCTTAATAGCTTCATTAGTGACTTTGCAGGTGTAATGGTGCCCTGTTCACACACTGGCAGATGATACTAAATTGGAAGGAGCAGTTGATACAGCACACATGTGTAATGCCATTCAGAGGGATCTGGGCAGCTCTTAAACTTCCTTCTTTACTCTTACCTTTGAAGGTGTAACTGCATGTGCTACATTTTCTACACCTTAACAGGATGAAGGGGAGGTGTGCTCAGCTGTTGCTTGAACTGCTTCAGGGGCTGCTGCAGTATGAGCATCCTTCCCAGACAGCAGCCTGAGGCTACAGACTGGTTCATGTGGTGCTGCCTCTCTTGCAGCTGCAGAATTAGGGAGCCACAGACAGCAGCACCCACCAGCTTTTGTGGCAGAGAGAACCTGGTGAGCTGAGAGTCAGAGGCCAGGGCCTGATGGTTATGGAGGGTCTCAAGAAGAGTAAATTTGACTGTGGAGGCTATGGAATGTGTTTAGAAATGTCTCTTGCTTGTCAGACTCAATCAAATATGAAAAAATTGATTTAAGCCTAAAAAAACCTTTTTTTTTCTCCACTGGCACAGGTTGCCAAGAGAAATTGTAATGTCTCCATTCTTGGAGCTATTAAAACCCACACTGGATGTGGCCCCAAGCAATGTGCTGTAGATGACCCTGCCTAGAGCAGGGAGTTGGACTGGATGGTCTCCAGAGTTTCCTGCTGACCTACTCCAGTCTGTGGTTCTGTGGCACAGCTGAATTTTACTGCACTGATTCTAGTTTAGTAATACTAGAAGAAAAATATTTAATTTGCGGTATAGCAAGTTGGGAACATCATTATGCCCTAAATAGAAGCACTGATTAAAGGAAGATAAAATTAATTTCAGAGCTGAACAGAAGGGTAATAACTCATTTCCAAGTGTATGGGATCCAGCTTTCTTCATGATACTGCTCCAGATAAAACACAAAGTGAAGGAAGGGATTGGTTTAAAACTGGTTTATAATGGCTTCTCACAAGAAAGACATTGAGGTGTTGGAGCATGTCCAGAGAAGGGCATGGGGTCCAGAAACTGGCAAAGTGTCAGGAGCACACATCTTATGAGGAGCAGCTGGGGGAGCTGGAGGTGTTTACCCTGGAGAAAAGAAGGCTCTGGGGAGACTTTATCACTCTTTACAACACCCTGAAAGGAAACTGGAAACAGGTGAGGTTCAGCCTCTCTTCACAAGTAACAAGAGATAGGACAAGAGGAAATGTGTCAGGGGAGGTTTAGATTGGATATTTGGAAAAAAATTCTTCACCAAAATAGTTGTCAACCATTGGAACAGGCTGCCCAGGGAAGAGGTAGAATGACCATCCCTGAAAGTGTTCAAAAGGCACGTGGATGTGACACCTGGAGATGTGGTTGAGTAGTGAACATGGTGGTGCTGGATTGATGATTGGTTTAGATAATATTATCTTTTCCAACCCTAACAATTTTGTGACTCCATAAAGGAAAAGTGAGCTCTGAAACTTCTTTACTCTTATATTTGAAGGTGTAAACTGTGTGTAATACACCTTACCATGATAAAGGCTAGGTGTGCTCAGCTGTTGTTTGAACTGCTTCAGGGGCTGCTGCAGTATGAGCATCCTTCCCAGACAGCAGCCTGAGGCCACAGACTGGTTCAGAATTAGGAAGCTTAGGGTTCAGGATTAAGCTGCATAATTATGGAGCCATAGACAGCAGCACCCACCAACTTTTGTGGCAGAGAGACCCTGGTAAGCTGAGAGTCAGAAGCCAGGGTCTGATGGCTATGGGAGGTCTTGAGGAAAGTAAATTTGACTGTGGAGGCTTTGGATTGTGTTTGAGAGATGCCTCTTGCTGGATGAAGTCAGACTCATTGTGCTGACACAACTGGAAAATTGTGGAGAACTCCTTATTAAACCTTTTGTAACATATCTCTGATTCATTCCATTACTCAATTCATTGCCAGTCCCATTTAAAGGAAAATTAAATGATAAATGTGACAGAGAAAGTTCATGTGTGTCCAGACCATTCTGATAAATTTTTAAAACTCCCTCCTCCCCTCAGAAACCCTGGGTTCATACTGTAGATGTTGCCAATTTTCTGTTGAATAATGGTTGTGGTATCTGCGTAATAATTCCTTGATATATAAGCTCCTAGAAGCTTCTCCAACATTACACTATAAATGGTCTGATTTCTACCCAGTTTTTAAATAGGTAAAAAAAATACTATTCCTGAACTTGTCTATTTTGTGGGCGTTCAACACATGGTCCTCAAATCTCCAAGCTGTGACTTGCCAGAGCAGTTCTCTTAAAAACATGTGCATTTGACTGTGAGTCAAAAATCATCTGCTTGAGCTGTGTTTGCCATTTGTACATGAAGATGTTGGGTCAATTTGGGGATGGGCAAAAGGAGACATGCTGCATATCTTCATTGCATGCCTCTTCTGAGACCACAAGAGTGCTCTGAGTTGGTGTTGCTGCCTCTTGTTTCCAGTTGCTGCTTGCTGCCTTAAAAGGAAGGCATTTGTTCAGTGAAATGGTACATGAGGTCCTGTCTTAGGGATGGGGCAATTGTAATTATATATATATATATATATATATATATATTTGTAAAAATAAAGGCATAAACTTTGTTACTGAGAAGAAAAGTAAGAAATTCAGTGTAGAGGGCTGTTATTAGTGCAGGAGTCTCACTGTAGGAGAGTCAGGACTATACTATAAATTCAGGTCTTGCTGCTCTGAAAATGTCCTCAGTGTTAAAACCGAGAAGCTTGACAGTGTTTTAGGGACTTCTGGCAAGGCTTTGAATTCCTGGCTTGGTTGCTGTATAGCATGACTCCTCAGCAAGGCACCAAGCTCTCCAGCAATAGAAAACCAAATGTAGCAAATGTCAGTGAAAGAAAATGTAAGTATACATTTCAATTTTTAAAAGTCATCAGATCGTCTTCAAATTTAATTTCAGAGGAGCTTTGCTAAGATACAGTGGAATGTTCCACCATAGGGAAAAAAACTCAAACAACCCAAACTATGTATTCCCCTTCTATTTATTGCCCTTGTGAAGTCTGTTTCTTTCTTGGTCTCTTAATTACTCAATTATTACTGTAGGTTGCAAACTTGAAATCAGATTTCATTCTGATTATCATATTTTCAGATTCAGATTTGCTTCAGGTAGAAGTCTTTGGCTTGTTTTACTGTGCTTAATACTTCAGCATCTCTGCTCTGATCACATTGTGATTGTTAGATCCTAGCTGTTACCCAGATTGAGTGTTTGTTATCATATTTGGCACATCTACTTGGAAAAAGCCCAAAACAAAATGAATACACACTCTTTAACCAATAAGGAATTCACATCTAGGAAAATATTTCCCTTCCTTACTGTTTTTGCAAAGTTTATTTCAATGAACATCTGCAAATAAATTTCCCATTCCAATTCTGATCAAAGTCCCTTTCTGTCTCTTCTTGGTAAGGTTTTCCTAACTGGAAGTCTAAGATTCTGAAAGTCATCCAGTTCTCCTTCCATGCCTTTGCTTTTTATGTGGATTTAGATGTCAGCAAAGATTGTTTAATGAACTCTCTTTGGAGACTCAAAATCATTGCTGCCACTAATATCACCTTCAACTTATTCTCTTGTATTATGCAAAATGTCAAACTGTGACATTTTTAATCCCTATCTGTTTTCTTATTTCAATCTTTATTATTATTTTTATTAATATTTCATTAATGTGGTAACTAAATTTTTCAGCACTATAATTTTGAAAACCTGCTTTTCTATGATTTTATATTCTAAATAAAATTGACACTTGAGTTTGTGGACACTATTTTTTTTCCCCTCAGTGTTCCTGGGATATTTTTTGCTTCAAGCTAATTGGATTTTAGAATTCAGCCTGTACTCTAGAAATTCAGTCTAATTCTTTAAAACCATAAAGGTTTAATATTTCCTGGCCGCTTCTTTTTATACAGGAAGGGAGCCTGAAACCACTATGTTTCAAAATGTCAGCTTTGATCA